AGAGAGGAGGAGAGGGATTCAGGGATGCCTTGTTTGCCTTGTGGCAAACTCCCAGTTTCTCACGATACAGGGTTTTAGCCACAGCATAGTGCAGTTCCATGCATTTTCCTTTTCTGTCTGTTCCTTTAGAAAGGGGAAAATAAAATGTTCCCAAGCTGAAGTTGTAACTAGTCATCTGGCCATCTCTAATTATAAACTAAAGATAAATTCTGCTTAATGCCACTGGATTCAAGTAAGCAAGACTATTTAAACAGGTGGTGTGGGGAAGGCTAGGGTACAGCTGTGAAGGAGCAGAGGAGAACAATAGAAGAAAAAGCTTGATTTCTTTGTGCATTTAAGCCAGAACAAACCATGTGTCAGCTTGTTTTACAACCCAGAATTTTGGCTCTTTAGGCTTTTAATTAGAACGTTTTTCTCTTAGCATTTTTCGTAGTGGCAATTTTTAAACAAACGGAAGTATATTCACAGGGCAATACAATACATTAAAGAAGCCAACTTGCTGAAAATGTCTTCTGGAAAAACATAAAGGATCCAGGAAGGAAGGAGCACTGTCCCAGTTTGCTCCTTTTGGTCCACTTTTTTGGCAGTGGTGCTTCTTTTGGGAAGAGTGAGTAACTTGCAAAGCCAGCAGATTGTAGACAGCCTGTTGTGCTTGGAAACACCCATCTCCTAACTACCATTCAGTCCCAAATACAGTAAGAAATCACTACCACCTGGAATCTGGGTCTGTGGGAAGTGAGTAAGTAGTCCACAGTATTTCAGGAAATCACCTTATTGATGTCTTTTTGACCAACATGTTAGCAGTCTGCTTTGGCACTTAGACAGAAGGGAGGAAGAGCTGTGGATAGCCTCAGCTTTGAAGTATGCAAGGAGAACCCAGCTATGACCACAGAAATGCCTGACTGAAGCTGAAAGGGTCAGTGGAACACTGACTACACTGACTGATGTGGGCTGACTCGGCCTTTTTCCCCTGAAATGCTTCCCTCTATACATTCCAGAGGGCAGTTTTTTCTGGACTTTGCACAGCATGACATTTTCTGAGACCATACATATACATTTTTTTTTTTAAAGGGGGATCAGTAAGATAAAATCTGTCAGTAAAGCTCTGATGTGCCCGGATGAATGAAGGATGGATCAACCAGGTAAAAAAAAAACAGAAAAAGTTACGCAGCCTCTGAAAGCTGTAACGTGCTGCTTCTCTCTTTGGAAAAACTGTACCCAGCTGCATGATATAGAGTACGGTTCTCGTTTATAGGGCTTTTCTGCCCAGACTGTAAAGTAGCATTGTGAATACCGACTGGTGTTTATGTGTGATCTTAACATAACATAAAACACATCTTTATTGGGAACCCTCATCAGATCTTTGCTGGCCATGGTATAAGCCGGTACAGAATTGGAAACTGCACTGCGTGAAGTTTATCCATGTTCCTCCTGATAATTATTTAGGGAGGGCCATCTCCACAGCAATTTGGTTAAAGTAAGACATGCTCTTTTATTTTGTACGAGTACCTGAAACCCTCTTCTATAAGCTCATAAAATGTGATTGCATACAAGATGTTGATGGCCTAGGGGAAGTTCTGAACAACTGGGAGTCATTACCACGATTTTGCTGCAAAAATGATCCATGATCTGCTGTGTTTTCCAACACTTTTCTCACTTTCTCTCAGAAAGACCAAAGGAACTGCAAGCTTCAGAGCACTACCCTGGAAATCCATGCGTGCACTTACAACTGTGCAGAAATGAAAAAACAAGCATCCTTCCCAAACGTGCACAAACTGTTTTGCAAGGGCTCAATGCGTTTGTCATCTTCTGTAATGTCTCATCAGGATGGCTATACATAACAACCTGTACATGGAACTGCTTGCAGAGAGCAGCATTTGAGAACAAATTAGTAAGTTAATACCTCCCTTGACCTGTATCTCATCAAGCTGAATTTTAGAAACCCGTCATTACTAATATGAAGGAGAGGTTAATCTGGTAATGTGCAGTTTTAGAGTGATAGATGAGTCGAAGCACTGGAGCTATTTAGCACAGCACCGTGTGGCACCTTCTCAGCATAAGTCTCTGGACTGACAAGGATCCCACGGGGCTGTGAACCTCTCGCCACTCTCTTTGAGTAATGGGACCAAAGTTGGAGGTGAATATAAGCAGCCTTAACTCTGCTCACCCATGCCTTGCTCCAGTATTTTGCGAGTGCTATTTTAACTTGGCTTAAAAGGAATTAGCCTTGTGGTTTCTTACTAGCATGCACCTTAAATCTTTTACACTCTCTCTGACACCAGCTCTTCAGTTTATAGACAGCTCTTGTCAAAGCAGAGCTGTGTGACTGAATCCCTCAGCTGGTGCTGGAAGATCTCAGCCCAGAGAGTTCTGTGCTTGTTATCTGTACAGCAAGAAGGCCAGAGTGATGCTCCCATGCTGCCACAGGCAGCATGGATCCCTCCTTACATCGGCAGAGCTAGCAAACAAGCACAGCCCCATTGCCAGGCACACAGCTCAGCAATTCGCTGAGAGCTTCACAAAACCCTTCCTCTGTGAGATTTGTAACTCTTCACTTGTATTTAATTAAAAAATATGATTAAAAATATTTATAAGTGACACTCACACTGTTCCGTTTCATTCTAGTCCGCTCCTATTCTTGAAGCACATCTTTGACTGACTGTCTCCCTGATGGGAACAAACACAACTTAAAACCCATTGCAGAAAGCGATAGAGGGAAACACTGCCTTCTCTGCTCGTGCCTGATGCTGACAGCTGCATACAAAATCTCAGGCACTTCTTTTGTGCCCACTTTTAAAGAGTTTAATGAAACATACAGAAAGCGATATTTGAAAACCCGTAGCTTTGGATGTCAGTTTGTTTCTTTCTTTCTTTTTCCTTCTCCAAATCACATAACAATAGTTTCCTGCCTTTCTGCCTCAAACTTCAGTCAACGAATCACAAAGGCTATCTACAGATAATAACATATTTCTGTTCATCGGCCTGTTGTAACAGGTGGGCAGCTAAATAACAGCACAGTAACTGTGGCAGGTGCAATTTAAGGGGCACTCTTGGCCCTCTTTGGACATGCAAACACCATTAGCAAAAGCATCAGAGCACTTACCATTAAGGCTACGTGAAACTATCAGCCTTTGTTAGACTGAGCTGCAGGATGAAACAAAGACTAAGATCCTTCTGGGGAGAGCATCCTATGTTCTGTCCTGTTTTATATCGGTTTGAAGGTCCGTGAGTGATTATTCATATTCTGCAACTGCGTGCAAAGTCAGATAGCATTTCCAAAGGATGCAAGAGATTCGTGGAAGGCAGAGATCAGGCATCCCTTCAGAAGGGAAAATGAATACATCCCATTTCATCAAACCGTGCAGATTTGCTACACTTACAAAAGAAGTGTAGGACTTTGTTATTGCATTTTCCCCATGGAAAGTAAGGCCCTTATTCGTCAAACTAATGTACAGAAGTACATCGTGTATTCCACAGGACTGAATGCTGTGGATAAACAGATAGGCAACTGCTCATGAGATCGGAGATAAAGAGATCAAAAAAAAAAAAAAAAAAAAAAGGCATGGAGATAGTTTTTGAAGCATGTGAGCAAAGTAAGGAGAACAGGAGCGATGCTTTCATACATCGATCTGGATCTCCGCTTTCCAGATTAATTCTGCATTTTCACAATCCCTATCCACAAAAGTTTGGGGGTGGGGGAGAACGTGGGAGAAGCGGGCTCAGACCGAGGCTCTCCATGCTCCCGGCCGGGGTTAAGCCGCGTGGCGGTGCTCACCCCTGGCCGCGCTCACATAATCCCCGAATGCTGCGGCTGTGAGCGGGGATGCGGCGCGGGTCGCGGGTGTGCAGGGCCGGGGGGGGAGGGTGGGAGCCGTCCTGGGGCCGCGGAGCGGCGACATGAGGCTCTCGGGAAGCGCCAGCCAGCTCTTAAGGGCTGATTCTTCTAGGCATATTAATCCCTTCGATGTAAGTAGGATATTTATCCTTTATCTCGGCTCCATTCCCGCGTTCGGATGACAGCGCTATTGTCGTCCAAACGTGCGTTAGGCGGCTCTTTATTAAGTCTATATAAATACGACCCAGCACCGCGTTCAATATTTACGGGGCGAGCGCGCTCTCAAGCGCACGATCGCGGGGAACCCCAAGGCTCGGGGAAGAGGGAGGCTGTGGTCGCCCAGCGCATCGTCCTCCTCCCGCCTCGGCCGGGGCTCCCCCCGCCCGCAGCCCCCCCGGAGCCGCCGTGTCACCCGGCGGGACGCCTCCCTCGTCCCCGCGCCGCCCCCTCCTCCCGCCCCCGCCCGCTCCCCCGGGGCGCCGCCGTCACCGCCGGCAGCCGGAGCAGCCGCTGAGCCGAGGGGCGGCGGGGCTTGCCCGCCTCTCCCCCTTCCCATCCCTTCCCTTCCCTCAGCCTCTCCCCGGTGCCTATATATAGCTGCCTCTGCCCGAGCCAGCCGGGAGAGCGCTCTGTACCTGCAAGAGACAGAAAAGACAAAATAAGAGCGGAGCGGCGAGGACCGACTCTCCAGGGCCGGAGGGAGGAAGAGGAGGCGGAGGCGCCGCCGTCCGGTGCCGCCGCCCCCGGTGCCGGCCGAGCCCCGCGGGGGCGGCCCTCCCGATCTCCCTTCCATCCCCCACCGCCCTCCCTGCGCGGCGGCGCGGGGCGCGCATGGCTCAGGCGCTGCCGGGGCCGGGCGCGGAGCCCGACCCCGGCCCCGGCGGCTCGGGCTGCGCGGGAAGGAGAGCTCCGTGCGAACGGCGGCGCTAGGGGGAGCTGCCCGGCATGTGCTGAAGTGCCCCGCAGCAGCCGCACAAGTTGACGGAGCGGCCGGACGGCGCGGAGAGCCCGCAGCCGCACCCCCGAGCCCGTCCCGTCACCCGGGCAGGGGCTGCGGGCGATGTGAGCGGCGCCGCCCGGGCTTCCCCGGCTCGCTGCCTCCCATGTCTTCGGGGTCCCCTCGGGGGGCGGCGGCCCCGCGGGAGGCGGAGGCGGCGCTGCCGTAATGGCCCTGGAGGAGAAGCGGGAGAAGCGACCGCCCGTCACCCCCATGATGATCGAAGAGGAGGCAGCCCTGCGCAACGGCAGCCGTGGACTGCCGCCGGGGCCCTGGGCCGAGGCGGCGGGGCCGCGACCCCGCACGACGGAGCGGCACATCGCCGTGCACAAGCGCCTGGTGCTGGGCTTCGCCGTCTCCATCCTGGCGCTGCTGGCCGTGACCATGGTGGCCGTGCTGCTCAGCGTCCGCTTCGAGGAGTGCGGCGCCGCCGCCGACGGACCCCCGCGGGCCGCCAACAACGGGAGCCTGCCGGGACTCGCGGCTGGGCAGCCCCGCGGCCGGGCCGAGCCGCGGGAGGAGACGCGGGGCGGGGAGGAGGCGGCGGAGCAGCAGCAACAGCAGGAGGAGGAGGAGGAGGAGGAGTGGCAGCGGCGGCGGCAGCTGCCGCCCTGGGCCCGGCCACGGCTGCCGCGGCACCTGCGACCGTTGCACTACAACCTGATGCTGAGCGCCTTCATGGAGAACTTCACCTTCTGCGGGGAGGTGAACGTGCAGCTGGAGGTGCGCAACGCCAGCCGCTACATCGTGCTGCACGCCCACCGCATGCACATCGAGGCGGTGCGCGTGGCCGAGGACAAGCTGGCGGGCGCCGTGCGGGTGGCACGGTCCTTCCTCTACCCCCAGACCCAGGTCCTGGTCGTCGTCCTCAACCGCAGCTTGGAGGTGCAGCGGAGTTACAACCTCAAGATCATCTACAACGCGCTCATCGAGAACGAGCTGCTCGGCTTCTTCCGCAGCTCCTACGTCCTGCACGGCGAGCGCAGGTACGGCGGGAAGAGCCCGGCGGGCAGCACGCCTCAATCCGCGCCCCTCGGCGGCGGCCCGTGCACAACTTCGGGCGGCGCGGGGCGGCGCTGCGAGGCGGGGAGGCGCCGAGGGCCGGCGCTTGAAGGGGAGGAGCTGTCGGAGTTTCTGCGGCCGGGACGGGAGAGGGGCTAGGACTGAGGGAAGGTGGTGGTGGCAGTTGGGGCCGAAGGGGTTTCTTCGCTCCCAAAGTGAGCCTTTATCGGTCGGTGCGGCCGAGAGGGAGGCTGAAAATTAGCCAAAAAAAGTAAGTCAGTCAGGAAAAGAACGCTCGCCGGTTCAAATCCACAGCCCCTGCGTTAGAGCGTACTCTTGCGCAATGTGGTTATTGGCAGTTTTCACCAGTCTGATGTTGGAATTGCAAGTGGGATTGAAATTGCCTGAGCCGTTTGTCATTGCCACTGAAATAAAATGAAAATTTGGAAATGCACGGCTGTAGGAAAGGATGCAGATAAAACGCCTTTATCGCTGAGAAGTGAGCGAGTGGGGCAATCAGGCGTTTCTGCAGACCTGTGTAGAAATGGGCACGCAGTAAGACAAGGCTGCCGACAGCAGGGGGGATAATTCGCTTTACAAAGGCAGCAAGAAGTTGTTTAAGCAGTTACTGCTCCTGCGTGTCTAAGCTTCCTGTGGAAATAGTTGAGCTGCCTGGTAGCTGCTTCTACTGTGACGTTTCTTCAAAGTTACTGTTCTGTGTTCTATGCCAGTGCTCCTGTTATGATTTGGGGGTTGAAAAAAAAAGAGAAAAAAGTCTGTTTGTTTTCATAGCCATCAGGAGAGTTTAAGGCACAGGAGTGGAAGGCAGTGGTAAAATGCCCTTCCCACAACTTTCTGTATCACTTCTGAGAAATGAGGCATTTTGCTTTCAGTGCACTCGAATATAGTTATTTTCAGCATGATCCTTACTGTACGGTAGTGTGGTGTTGAAATCAGTGGTGGTGGTTTTTCTTTGCACCAGCTCACGTGTTTATTTTGGTAAAATGCTGTTTTTTAAAATCTGCATCAGTTCAGGGTTACGGTTTCAGATGTTTACCATGAGCATTGTTTTTCCCCTTGAACTATCAAAAAGTTAAAGACTCCCTGAGATATAAAATAAGTAATGCACATTCTAAACTACGAAACTTTTTCATTAGAAGTGCCCTCTTGCGATTTGCATTTTGATTAGTGGCCCGATTTTGATGTAACTCATGTAACCATTTGTCGTCCTGAAATGTGGATGATTTCTGCTGTGACAGACAGCAAGGCTTCTCTTCTGCTCCCAGGGACCTTGATTTTCCAGCAGAATTTCAGCTTTCTGACGTCTTTATATTCGATTAAAATACAGAGACATTGCTGCAGGAGTAGTTGTTGTAAAAGGGTCTAAAACATCATTTTTCACTTTTGTGATACGTCAGGAGTGAGTAATGGGTTAACTGTGAAGCTTTCCAAGTGTAACAGTGCCTTCATTTCATAATTCTTTTGTTCATAAAGTTAGTCCATTTACTGTGGTCTTCATAGGTGAAAGCCATAAATTAGCCTAAAGTGTTCACAGTAGCATGAAGTACTTATTTTCTTACTGCAATCTGTGCTACTTTAATTGAAAGCTGAAATTCAAGTGATAAGCCACAAACTTATTCTTCATTATGTGCTAGAATTCGCTGATTACTGAATCAACAGACATTTAATACACAGCTCCTGTAGAGTACCATAGTAATATGCACACATAATTTAAATGAACATCCACCTTGGGCATAAATGAAAAAGTGAAGAGAATCCTATATTATTCAGACAAAACAAACAGACATATTCTTCCATCTTATCACTACTAAGATGTCAAAATAGATAGCTTGTTGAGGAAACACACGTCTTCCTTTAACAGATGAGGTGGAATTAAAATACCTGCAAATTACTGCTGTGGGGATGCTGAGCAGACAGGCTGCAAGGCTGTCATTCCCAGAAGTACAACTTTTGTGGTGATATACTTGGGAATCGGAGATAAAAATGTCAGTGCCCAGAGAAGGATCTAGAGGATGAATTACTCAACCTGCTCTTCATTTTTGGTATGGGGTAGAAGTTTTGCTTGTTGTTCTTCCTAACACTTAAGGGAATAGATAAAAGTCAGAGAATGGCCTGGGTTGAAAAGGACCACAATGATCATCTAGTTCCAACCCCCCTGCTGTGTGCAGAGTTGCCAGCCACTAGACGAGGCTGCCTAGAGCCACATCCAGCCTGGCCTTGAAGCACAGACTATTTTACTTCAAGCAGTTTAGTCTTTGGGAAGAAGTTTTAAACTTTCTTTTTGTTTTACTTTATGCCACAATAAGCAAATTGGTATTTGATAGTAATGTGTGTGTTACAAACACCACTGTTACTGGTAGCTGGTGTATTTTTAGTATGGAATATTGACCATCCAGTGTTTGCCCAGTTACGTCTGTGTGGATGTTATCTGTTCCTCTGTGTGAATACAGAGGATGCAGAGGTCACTGGTGAAGAGATTGTTTCAATGGCCTAACACCTAACAAGACTGCAGATAGGACCCTGAAAAAGTGGGAAAAATGCTCCCTTTTTTTAGAGGGTAACAGCATATATACAGTATTCCCTATTTATGCATTTACATGTATATCTGAGCTCATTAAAATTGTTAATTGCAGCTGAAAGTTCATCATTCTGGCTTTATTAATAGCAGGCTGGTACAAGTTTCCGAGCTCACTTGAAGCTACTGTTGGTGTCTATAGCTCTTTAGCGTGCGCCTAGGATGCAGAATCAGGACCACTTGAAATACTTTGCATATAAATTAAGTTGCTTTGCTTCATTTAATTGGCTGATTTGGCTTTGTTGCACTAGTGCAAATCCACTGATAATAATGGAATTTTCCTGGATTAACACTGGAATACCTGCCATCAACTTTTTACCTTATATTGAACAACCTTATTCAGGAATATGATGTAACTAATCTGTATTTTATAGTGAAGCAAGACAAATGCAGTATGATGAATTCCTTCGGTGATGATTTGCCTAATAAAGCCTTTTGTTTTAGACAAAAAAAAAAATAAAAATGGTAAAACCTTGGGGGGGGGGAAAAAAAATTTTTTTTTTTTTTTTTTTTTTTTTTTTTTTTTTTTTTTCCTTTGAATAGATTTATGAAAGAGGTGGTCGTTTCACTTAAAACCATATCTGGTTGTCTCGAGCGTGGATGCTCTATAGCGAGATAAATGCAACATTTCAAGAAGTTTTTCATGAATTTTATAAAATAATGCTAGCAATATTTCTAAAACCCAAGAAGTTTTAGAAAAAAATAATTATCCTTAAAGGTTTCCTGATTATTTACTTATATTTCCCCCTCAGGGTTTGAGAGCATCAGATATTACTGAATACAGAATATGATACCATTGTTTGTACTGTAGAGTAATGCTCGTGGACTGATGAATAATGAGTGCCACCACTTTCATTTTATCAAACGTATCCACCTGCTCTCTTCCTCCAGAGGAGTAACAGATGATTATTCGACCTCTAAAATTGTGGCAAATGTTTACCAGCTATCTAAAATTGCATGGTGATTTCCACTGATGAAATCTTAAAAATTGAGACATGATTCAATACTTCTCCAAAAGCCTTCATATTTGGTTATGTAGTTTAGCTGTAGTCATTTTCTTGCCCTCTGTGCTTCAGAGAATATTCCTATTGAACACTGCACTTCAGCCTTTTAAATGCAGCTCCTTTCTGCATAGTGATCATCATATGTGGGGTTTTGTCTGAATGGTGTAAGTTTGGAGAAAGTCTCTACTTGCAAAGGTTCCTTTTCAGTATCTGCATTAACATCTGCTTAGTTCCAAAGAAAATGATCACTGTTATTAATAATAATTGTTATTATAATTAAATGAAACTATTGAGCTTTCCCATTTTATACAGTGGCTTGGTGTCTTCAGAAATCTTTGAGTATTTTGCTGTGTGAACTGATACGTATTTGTTCTCAATAAAATATACCACATAAGAAAGGCACCTTTGAAAAAAGGTAAACTACTCCATACTTGTGTAATTATTTGGTTGCATTTGTGATTTTGCAAAGATCCCTGAATATATATATATATTTTTTTGTGACTGTATGCAATAGCAATACTGCTGTGTTTTAGCACAGCGTGTCTGAGACCTGTTCACTTGCAGAGAAGTAATCAGCAGTGGAAAACAACAACCCCCCTGAGTACACTGTGTGGGTGTAAGTTCTAATGTCCAATGAAAGGCAGTGTGTGCTGTCAGTATCTCAGGGCAGAGTGAGCTCCCCAAAGGCTACTAAATCCTGGCTTTAACTGAGGCCATGCTTGCTTATGACCGATATTGGCAAACTTTTTTTCACATACAGAACAAAACTTCTGTGAGATCCTGAAGTCTGATAGAAGGGGATTATTTAACCTCAGCGTGATGCCAGCAATTTTGTACAAAATTTATAGGCCATTACTTTATATTGATTGTGTTACAGTACAGGTAGTAAGAATTCACATCAAGAAAGGCCGCAATGATAAAGCAGTGTTCAGTGCTGTATGCTTGTACTGTTACATTTGTTGTTGTTAAACCACAATAGTCAAGCAATGTCTGATTTACTATGCCCATGAATAGAGTGCTGGTCACAGACAGTAACTGCCGCGATGTCTTTTGTTTGCTTCTGTTCCAGGTTTCTTGGTGTTACGCAGTTCTCTCCTACTCATGCCAGAAAAGCCTTTCCTTGCTTTGATGAGCCCATCTACAAGGCCACTTTCAAAATCAGCATCAAGCATCAGGCAACTTATATATCTTTGTCCAACATGCCAGTTGAAACATCTGTTTTTGAAGAAGATGGGTGGGTTACAGATCACTTTTCACAAACCCCTCTGATGTCCACATATTACCTGGCTTGGGCAGTGTGCAATTTTACATACCGGGAAACCATCACCAAGAGTGGAGTCGTTGTAAGTATTTCTGATGTTGTACCAGACACGTTTTGCTACTTTGAAAATCTCTTTTTTTTGCAAGGGATCATAACATCAAGTACTTAAAGAGTTTCTTGCTTAGCATTCCTAAAATTTGCCAGCTCATTCAATGTTAGTGTGCATTGTTTGGAGCATTTTCTAAAAGTTTACCTGATTTTTTTTTTTTTTTAATTTCTCCCTGTATGGGAACTGCTGAGTCAGAGCCTGAACCTCTGATTGACCACCTGAGGCGAGCCATGAGCCAGCCAGAGGAGCACAGGTGAAGGCAATTCAGCTGTGCTGCCGGAAGGGGTGGAGCCTGGCTGCACCCCTCCTAGACCTATTTAAGAGCTGGCTATCAGTGGGGAAGGATCTTGTTTGGAGATCTCTCCTTCTGGTGTTTTATGGGTGAACCCAGCATAAGGGTAAGCCTTCCATTTATTGTCTTTTATTATCATAGTCCGCTTCTCCTAACTCTCTTGTTTATTTTGTGGTTGTAACGTCTTGATATCCATTGATTATACACTTCCTAATGCTTTTTTAATTGTTTACTAAGTTTTGTTGTCTGATGAAATTTTAAACTTTCAGGTATCCTTTTCAATTCACTTTTATTTCCTTAGTATGTTTTCTCTTGCTTCAATACCAGTGTTTGTGGTGCAGTAATATGGAAGGGTTGTTAGTCTCCTTCTTTTAATATTGACATTCCCGTGGTGTGCTGTGTGCTAGCTTGAGAGGCTGCTTAAGTATTTTATCTCAGAACTTGTTTAGAAGCAGAACTTCATGTCCTATCAGCTTCATGAAGTGCAGTTCCATGTTGGTGGAAGCACTGACTTTCTGGAGCTGTTGTTTCCAAATTCAGCATGATTCCAGTTATGCTGTGGAGGGGGGGAAAAAAAAAAAGAAAAAAGGGAAATCCTTTATTTATATCAGTTTTGTTTTTGTTTACAAATATCAAGCACAGAACTGTATAACAAGCTAAAACATACATGAGAAATGCTGTCAGCTTAATAGAATATTTCACAGTGCTGTCATCTTGATTTTTCAGGTGTATGTTCAGAGAAACACTTCCTTTTTAGTTTTTGTGAATAACAAAATTGATCTACTTTTGGAAGCTGAGGGCTAGGCTGGAGTTCTAGCTTTGTGCCTGAGCAAAGTGCATTTTTACCTTTATGCTTCTACAAATGCTCAATTGCTTGTGCTGTAGTTTGGTGCCATAAAGAACTGCCTGCCTCCTTACTGTTGTTGATCGAGACATGGAATGTATCCATAATCACTTTTAGCAAGTCTAAGCTTTGAGCTGCTGCAGAGGGAGCTGATCTCACCTCCTCTCAGCCAGAAGTTTTCTTTACTTTCTTGTGCCAGTGCTCACCTCTGCACAGCCCGATGCAGTTCTGAGAACTGACCTGAAAAGATAAATGAAAATGTGTGAATGTGTTTTCAGGCAGATCAGTTCTTTGATCCATCTTTTTGTGTGACTGCCTGAGATCTAGGATTCAAGGCTGTGGTAAGATGAAGGAGTTTAGACCCAGCCTTCTTTGTTGGTGGCTTTCACTTGGGTCATACTGAAATCATGAGGAAATCAGCATTTGAGATTATTTCGTCTGAGTAATGTAATGATGTTGGAAATTCAGAGCCTGTACTCGCAGTTCCACTGGTTGCTTGTGATGGCTGCACTGCTTGTGTAGCTCAATGTTACTGAAAGAGGAAGGCTCCTAGCTCCGCTTCTTCAGGCTGGGACCAGCTGCTCCTCCCTGTGCAACAGCTCTGTGCTAGCCGAACAATTAGTTGAGTTGATTTCACTTACAAGCTTGAAGAAATGAAACTTCTCTCTCTCTCTCTCCATTTTTTTTTTTCCCTTCTTTTTTAGCAAGGATATTTCTTTGTCAGTTCAGCAAGTTAATTTAGAAAAAGATTGCATAAGTGCCCGTGCAAAAAAAAAAAAATGTAAGAAGGGAGAATGGTGGAGCTGATGCCTGCTTCTTAGTGCTGCTACCTTCAGATTGATTGTCTGTAGAAGAAGCATTGCTCTTGGGATGAGTAATTGGTTGCCTCAGGCTGTTGTAATAGTTGCAAGACTGACCTAAGTAGAACAGGCTGAGATTTCAGGCCATTTCTTTCTCCTTATCAATCAGTACTGAAACAGACTTCTGTCCAGGTTGGAGTTGATGATCTTCATTGTAATCCTTCCTGGTGAAGGATTTGGTTTTAAGCTCAGAACAATGTCATATTTTTCTGCTTCAGAAAACAGCAGTTACTTGTGTTTCTCCTGTAACTTCTCTAAGATGGAAGTTTTTGATATATGCTATCTTATGTTCCTTGTTCTCTAATACAATGTATTATTTGCAAGTTCAGCATGCATAATACTACTGTATTATCTCTGGCATGTCCTCTACACATCTTTAAGAAAAAAAAAAACAAAAGTTGTAAGCTGTTCAATTTTCAGCATCACGTAAACAAATATGTACAATGTGAAGAATGAGCTTCAGGACCATCAGTTTGAAAGATACATCCTATTTCCTCTTTATTTTATGGTGTTCACAGCTCATAACTTGTAAGCGTCTGCTACTTGAGCATGTATAATATCTTGAAGACAGAAGCATACTCATGTGATATAGACACTAACTATTGCTTTCTGCTGGTCTCAAAGACAACATCCAAGTATTTATTTCATGATGGCTGCAGTGGTCTTAGTTATGTTTGAGTCTCTTGCTCAGCAAATTTAGGACATGCTTACTCCACGACCTTGAGCGTACCACCGCACAGAACTTTGTCAGCAGTTGCTGCAAATCAGTAGGCAGTTTTTGGCAAAGACATGAAAACTAGGAGCCTGTATAGATTGAGATAATCTCGTATCCTTGCTCAGATTTGTTGAAAGAATACCTTGTGTTAACATATGGTGAACAGCTTAGAGCTGGCTTTGTTGATATGAATTGCTGAGGTAAGCCATCACTTTGTGGCTTTTATACTGTAACCCCAGGTGTCTGTGTCTATTATCTAGGTAAATTTTTGAAATTTGACCTCCTGGTGCAGGCAAGTCTAAACTTCTTGGTCCCCTCTGAAGCTGTTTGGGCACTAAAATTACTTGTTCCTGTATTCTTGGCAAGTGAACATAAATATATGATGAAACAAAGTTAGCTTCTAAAAATAAATGAATGTTCAAGAAAATTAACCCAACCTCTGTGGTGAAACATTTTGATGTGTATTGATTGGATGGTCATAGCCGCAGTATTGTGGTCAATAGCTCTATGTCCAAGTGGAGGATAGTCATGAATGGTGTCCCCCAGACACACTGCATGACCTGTGCTCTTCAACATCGTTATCAGAAGCATAGACAGTGGAATCAAGTGCACCGTCAGCAAGTTTGATAATGACACCAAGCAGAGGGGTGCGGCTGACACAACAGAAGGAAAGGATGTCATCTAGACAGACCTGGACAGGCTCAAAAGTTAATAATAAATAATAAAGTTTAACAAGACCAAATGTAAGGTGTTGCACTTGGGTCTAGGCAATTCCAGATGTGAGTACAGACTGGGAGAAGAAGACATGGAGAGCATCCCTGCAGAGAAGGTCTTATGGGTCTTGATGGTCAAAAAACTGGACATGAGCCAGCAGTGTGCTCTTGCAGCCTGGGAGGCCAACAGTATCTTAGGATGCATCGAAAGAGGGGTGGCCAGCAAGGTGAGGGAGGTGATTGTCCCACTCTGCTCTGCCCTTCTGAAGTCCTAGCTGGAATACTGCATTTAGGTCTGGCACCCCAGGCGCAGTAAGAATGCGGAGCTATTGGAGCAGGTCCAGAGAAGGCCACAGAGATAATCAAGTGACTGGAGTACCTCTCCTATGAAGAGAGGTTGAAGGATTTGGACTTATTTAACTTGAAGAAGAGAAAGCTTTGGGGAGATACCATTTCAGCCTTCCAGTAGCTGTAGGGAGTTTACAGGCAGGAGAAGGGCAACTTTTTAACATGATCTGATAGTGATAGGGCAAGGGGGAATGACTTTAAACTGAAAGAGGGGAGATTTAGGTTAGATGTTAGGAATAAATTTTTTACTCAGAAGGTAGTGAAGCGCTAGAACAGGTTGCTCTGAGAGATTCTGGATGCTCACATTCCTGGAGGTGTTCAAGGCCAGGTTGGACGGAATCCTGGACAGCCTGATCTAGAGGTTGGCAATCCTGACTATGGCAGGGGGATTAGAACTAGATGGAGAGGTACCCTCCAATCTATATCACTCTACGGTTAAGGGGCCTTTCTTCTATTAATGGGATGTATATTACTTTATAGATCTCTGAAAGACTGCAGCTTGTGTGTACCTCTGTTTTTTGTACTTTCACAAATTTGATTTTGGTTCACAAGGTTTAGAGGGGCTCAGGGAAAGTATCCTTTCAGATTTTGACAGTACTCTAATGCTTAAAACCTTCTCTCTCTCCTGGGTGACCACTCTTAGTAAACTGCTGTGGTCAAGGGTGGATAAACTTTCTAAGGAGTAAACAGAACAGTGAGTTTAAAAGCAGGTTTGTTCTTAAAGATTAACTTCTGGCTGTTCAGTTTTTCTCAAAGAATGGCATTGACCTCAAAATTAATTTTAATCCATGCATGATATTCAAATACATACCAAGTTAAAAGTAGAAACTGACTTGGAGAACTGAGCTAGCCAATCAAATAATAATATTGATATATCCTATATTATTCTTGCAGACATGGAGACTTATATTTCATGCTCTACTATTAATTTGAAAGTGGAATTAAGACAAGTAGTGCTTTTGTAGGAGCACAGTTCAGTGGCTGTGAATCATTCCCATAACTCTTTAGTCTGTACGGGTCTGATCACAATCCCTTCCAGAGCAGGTAATTTAAAAGCAGAATTGCCTTCTTATGTGCATTACAAGACTATAATTTGTTGCTCAGATTCATCTGGGATTACAGGGGGTGATTCAAATCGTTGGAACTGCCTTTGTGTTTGAGCACAGCTTGACTCCTGTAGAAGAGACTGTGGTGTACGTAC